TGGGAGGGAGGGGGAGGTCGAGGACGATAGGCGGCCGCGGGGCTGAGGGGAGGAAGGGTCAGGGTTGCAGGGCTTCATGGGGATCTGGGGGGCTCATGGGAGTAGGCGGTTTGATGGATGGGGGGGTCATTGCCCCAGAGGTTGTGGGGGGATTGGAAGGATTTCTGCCCCAGTGGTGTCTGTGTTAGTCCTCCCCTCCCCTGCTAACCTCCTGTTTCTCCAACCTCCCTAGGTTCGGTTCCTGTTGGCCTCTGGCTTGGATGATGGAGCCCAGAGCCCAGAGCCCCCAGCCTCTAGCAGCCCCTCTGTTGCTGCTGGGGTAGCACCACTGCCTATGGGGTTGGGCAGATGTGGGGCATGGACAGAGATGGGCTTTGGGGCACTGGCAGGGGACCCCCCACCCTCCAGCAACCTTGCAGCCCCCGAGCTGCACTCCAGCCTGGCCCTGGGCAGAGAGGTGCAGGCAGCAGCTCATGAGGCCTTTGATGCACATCGTGCTGCCCAAGATCTGCTGGCCACGTCCTTTGTTGTCCGTTGCAACGTGGAGGAGAAGGCTGCCACAGGTGAGAGGAAGGGTGCCCCCAGCTGTTGCTTTCCAGCCTTGCTACCTAGCTCTGCTGGTGCCCCTCACTCCAGACATGCAACCCCTGACAACCCAGCCCTGGGAGGGACATATACAGCCTCTTTTTGCTCCTGCAGCCATGAACATCCCCCGGGAGCAGCAGCTATACCAGGGGCTTGTGAGCCTGCAGGTACCTGCAGAGGAGGTGCTCAGCTGTGCAATTCAAGAGAAACTGTCACTTGTCCAAACCCAGCCTGAACCCCGCAAGGTGAGTAACTTTGATAAGGGGCCTTTCCTTTCTGTGGTGTTCTGGCTCCCACCCAGCCCGAGAACAGGGACTGCCTGGCTCAGGGTGATGAGGCACTGTGCCTCATGCCCATCTCCTCTAAGGAGCACTGGCTCCCATTGGAGTGCTGGGCAGGGACTGGCTGGGGGGAGTGGGTGCAGCTGTCAGTCTGACTAATGGGGTATCTCCCCCTCTTTTCCAGGAGCCTGACCTTGAAGGCCCAGACCTGCTGATGTTCTATGAGCCCTTGGAACTGTTTGCAGAGACCCCCTACCTGAGTGTGGAGGGGTTGCCCCCCTTGCGGCTGCAGCCCCCCCCACATCCGCCCCCCCGCCTCCACCTTCCAGATGTTCCGCCAGCTGCAGCAGTGGGATGCCTAAGGATGCCAGCAGGCATTGTGGTTGAGGCCAGACAGAGTGGGCAGCTCCCCAACCATGTTCCCACTCACATGGCTCTGTCCCTTTGTACCCAGCCTCTGTGGGGCCACCCAATAAATCCCCCTGGGCTCAGCTGTGGTGCCTGAATGTTAGGGGGGCTGGATGGGGAGAGGAACACCTCTCAGGAGAGTGGTGGAGACCGGAGGGGGAGAGGGATTGCCTTGTTTTCCAGCATGCCTAGGAACTCGGGATATCCCATAATTCCCAAGCACTGTGGGGGAAGGGGACCTTTCTGCTCCAGGTGGTGGAGGTGGGCAAAATCGACTACACTTCCCATCCTGCCTTGTGGACAGGGTGAGACTCCATTTCCCATCAGCCGCAGCGGGCGGTATTTTCCCCCTCCGCTTTGCGCATGTGCGGGGAGGCATGGCCGGCGGGCGGGAGCTACTTTCGGCGGCCGAGTTCGAACGAGTGAAGCTGAGTTACTTAGATACCATCACCCAGGTAACGGACCGGACTATGAGAGGGAGAAGTGGGGGGCTGCAGGTAGCCTGATTCAGTGTCTGACCTCCCCCCCCAGGAGCTGGAGGAGGCGGCAGGGCTGATGGAGCAGCTGGAACGGAATTTGAACGTGTGGGCCCGGCGTCCGGGGCAGCTGGAGACGGTGGCCCAGGTAACCCTCTCCCTGGGATGCGAGGGTTCTGCCCCGCGCGCGTCCGAGCCTTCTTCGCAGTAGGCTCTTCCAGTTTCATGCTCTTCCGGGATTGCCCCTTGTGAATCCCTATCTTGAGAATGGACTGACCCGCATTTCCGCCCTCCGCAATAGTCTGTCCCTTTTCCGGAATTGTCTCGCGCCCCGCCCCTTTCTCAGCAGCTGCTCTTCTCCTCTAGGTATGGCGGCGCTTCCAGGCCCAGCTAGGCGCCATGTGTACTGCGCACAAAGGCCTCACGGATCGAGCCGGGCAGTAAATGCTACTGTGCTCCACGGCGCTGGATCCTGCCGGCGCCTGGATTCTCTCCTCCCCCTCCCCACCCCCCGCGCTCAGAGCAGCCTGGTGCTGCCCTAACTCTCCTTCCCCTCCCCCACTCCGTGCAGCAGGCTCAGTGCGCCCTCCCCCCACCTTAACCCTGCACCCTCCCACCACAACAGGGCAATAATCAGTAGCTTTTATTTATATATAATAGAATCAACATCTGTAAAGATAAAACTCCACATCGCATAGTGGGGGGGAGGGGTAGCTGTGCAGAACCCACCCAGTCATGCTGCAGCCCACACCTCCCAGCAAGCCAACAGCCTGTTTCAGCCTCCCCAGGGAGGCATCACCCTCTTTGCACCAAAAGGGAATGAGGGAGCTGTGGACTTGGCTAATCCCCCCCCCCCCCCCCCCCCAGCCAGACGGCCCCTGCCCTTCTTGCCTTAACGGGGGAGAGGGAAGAGAAAATTGTTGTTACTATTTTTACTTAACTCCCCCCATGCACTGAGCTCAGGGAGGGGTAGGGATTAGCAGCCCCAGCCTTCAGCTGGGAGTTGATAGTGGGGTGAGGGCACTGAGAATTCAGCATGGGGGCAGCTACAGCCCAGCCTACAATCCCTTCCCCATCCCCATCCAAGGTCTGCACCAGGCTGCAGTGCTAAGTAGCATCCAGAGGGAACAGTCTCTCACCCCACAAATTCGGTTGCATGGAGGGGCCACGTGCCTGCAGGCACCTCTGGTATAGAAAGCGGGTAATGTTCAGTGTCTGCTAATCTCAGGCCACAGTGACCTATAACCCCCACATTGGATGGGCTCAGCCCAGCTGTCCTCCAAATGCAAAAGGGGCATCCAGTCCTGTGCATCATCCTCTTCTTCCCCTGTATCTCAGTGGCTGGTGGGCCGGCCTTTGTGTAGGAGATAGACAGGGCGCTGGAACCCTGTGGGCAGATGGGGAAGGGAGAGTGTTACTACAGTCACTGCTCCACCAGGAAATCTCCCTGCCCTATGAACTCTACTCCTGTATCTCCTTCCCATGGACCAGCTCTTAGACCTCACTGATAGAAACAGACCTATGTTTCTATGGATCTGCTGAGCAAATGCAGGGAATACACCAGGAGCCTTCCTGCTCTGTCCGCCCTCAGAAAAAACAGGTGGGGAATTGAGCTGTATGTTTGCTATGAATCAGGCTTGTTACTAGAGGCTCACTAGGTGGGTCTGTCACGTGTCAGTTGCTGGACTAGACTCATGGTGGAGGGAATCCTCTATGGCTGGACTCAGATGGATCCCAGGAAGAGGGTGCTGGGACAAGGGGCTAAATCAGGGATACCAAGGGGCTAAATCAGGAATCCCAGCCAAGCCTGCACCTGTTGCCATCACACATCTCCAAAGAGGCCCGCTATAATCCAGAAGGCTCATGCCTAGGTCTGCAAGAGTTTCCCCCTCCCCTTGCCATCAGATGTGTGCAGGCAGGCTGTCCTAATCTTCTTTGTCCCCAAGCACATACACAAGGGCCCTACTAGAGCAATGATCCACCTATTCCAGGATCCTGTCTTCTGCCAGCAGCCAGGGTCATATGCCTCAGAGCGAGTGAACAGAACAGGGATTTTCAAGTGTGTTTGTTTGACCTATTATATTTTGGCCTTCACAACATCCCCTGGTGAGGAGTTCCACAGATTGATTAACAGCTGTACCCTCTCTAGCATCTCACTTAGAGTACTGCTATTTACAGCAATTCTAACTTCACACATTCATTCAGAAAGGCTAGCTTGGCCAAATCAAAATGCTTCACAGGGAAGAGTCAATTGGAACCAAATTCAAAAATTTTGAAATTATCAAATCCAATGAAGCATTTTGTTTTGATCTTTGTCTCGTGAGTGTGCTAAATATCAGTGCTATATATTACTACATGGCACTAGAAAGTAAATAGAGAAGTTACTATATTGCAGTTAGGCTTGACAAATTAGATTTGTTGGTAATGTCTTTCGCCTTATATCCAAACCAACAAATATATTTCCATGGATAACTGAAGTTTACAGACAAGCAACAGAAGAAAAATGTTGAGAGCACATTAGAGTAAAATAATCCAGTGATTTTGGAATTCATCTTGTTACAAATGGACTAATCAATGTGTATTAAACTGGCTTGATTTGTTGATTTATGGGTATTTCCATTGTCTATTTCAACACCTGATGTTGACAATCTGTTTCAACTGTTTATAAATCAACATTAAGTCCTTGTTGGTCTCTTGCCCCCTCACCTGAATTTCATACAACTGAAAACTTAAAAATCAATTAAGAGGGCAGGGGAACTGCTTAAAATCCATCATCTTTTACAACTGAAAAGTTTAAAGAGAACCTGAAAGGATGCTTCAGTATAAAGCCCACTAACCACTGAAATGCAAATAAGAGTTCTGCCAAGCCTGATGATATAAATATTACATGAACATTACTTACTGTATTAACATTTTAAAATTGCAATAACAGTATTTTAGCTTTGATAATATAACATTTCACTATAGTCACTTGAACGTTTCCAAAGCAAAGTATTTACTGTGATGGCAGCCATCCATGGTTGGCTTATTCAGTTTGGTAGCAGTTTTCCAGCAGGCTGGCCCAGCTGGTAAGTTTTAAAATTTGTGAAGCAGTGATTGGTTTCTCCTACCCATAAGCCTGGGATGGCATTTCCCTGCCTGTAGGGCAGCCCTGATCCCAGCTATGATGGCCAGGGTGATTGGAAACAAGGTATCTGGCCAGAGGGAGCCCATACTTAGAGGCATCCCCAGGGCACAAGGCCAAGCAGCCAGCAGGACACAAGAGACTGGGAGCAGACCCTGAACAGGTTCCCCCCCTCCCTGCACTCACCTCTGGAGCTGTTGTGTGGCCTGGCCACTAGCTCGCAGCTGGAGAAGCCAACCTCAGGGGAGGTCAGGTAAGAGGTGAACTGATCAGGTTTCAGCTTGATGCGGTAGTAGTTTCTGTAGATGGTTTCCTATGAAGGGACAAGGGCATAAGACAGAGCAGTGGCGATAATCCCAGTGCCCACCACCAGGGGGCTGGATGGAGCAGCACATCTTGCCCCATGCCCACTCACCGTCAGGTTCTTGCGCTTGCCATAGGAGGACCATGGCTGTGGCTCCAGCAGCAGGATGCCACCAGGCCGCAGGTGGCGGTAGATGCGCTTGAACAGTCGCTTCAGGCCCTCATCTCCCCAGTTGAGGTGCACCCACTTGGTGAGGCTGAGACACAAAACCACGTCATACTCAGCATTCTGCGTCGCCAGCAGCTCGTCCCGCTCCAGCACATAGTTACCCTGCGGGGGGGAGAAGGGTGGGACCATGGCAGCCAGTCAGCCCGCCCCAGCAGAGCTGGGAGAACCAGGAGTCTGGACTCCCAGAAGAGGGAAGAGAATGCATGCATGTGGGCTCCCAGCCCCCACTCCTCTGCTAAAGCTGGGGAGAGAACCAGGAGTCCTGGCTCCCAGCTCTACCCTCTCCCAGAGCCCCTAAATCCATATGTATCACTGGCCCCAAGCCAAGATCCCAGTAACCCACATAATTCAACCTCTGGGAGAGTAAATTCCCTGCATTTCAATTTACCAGGGTTATAGCTGAACCCAGATTCCGCACCCACCCCAACCTGCCACCCTCCTAGAGATCCCATCCAGAGTGGGGATCCTCCCACATAGCCTCCCCCCCACAGATCAGGGCCCTCCACAGCATCCTAAACAGAGACTGGAAGGGCTGCTCATGATGCCACATGAATCCCTCCAGCCGCTGCTTCAGGGCCCTAACCCCACAGCTCCCCTAAGGGCAACTTAATCCCACTGCCCTGCCTCAGATGGATCAGGGCCCTCAGACACCTCTCCCCCTCCCCAAGAGGTCAAAGTCAGAACCCCTCCCATCATAGCCAACTCAAACACCTTCCCAGCCAAAGACTGGAAGGGGAAATTGAGGTAGCAGCATAGCTGGGGTCAGAAGCCAGGCATCCAAACCTCTGGCTACTGGCAGATGATACTAATGCAGTAGGGATAAGACCTCACTCATGGGCACTGGAGAGCAGTGGAGTTGCTGGATGGTCTGGGGGTTGAGCCTGGCTCTGTACTGGCCCTGGCCCATACTTTGTGCCACCTCTAGCAGGCTAGATGGATGTGCATCATCCAGCTGAAGTCTCACTTGCAGTCAATGATTTCAATCAACTTTCCCATTTGTGGTTTGGTTGTTTTCTAATGATGGCCATGCTGATTACCTGCTAACTACAGCCTGGCTGGGACTTTTGGGCCAGATATGTCCTACCTTGGAGGGTCCCCTAGTATTAGATCAGTTTATTGAAGCAACTATAGAGCTTAATATCAGCTGATCCTTATTCACAGGATACTTTCAGGACTATGACAGAGTTATTGCTGATTTACAAACAGAGGCTTGTGAAGGATCCACTGGGGAACTTGGGTCCTTCAGCTACTCAAATGAGCTAGACTCCTTAATTCCCTTGAGCCTCAAGCAAGGTTGAGCATTTGACAGCAAGGAAACTGAAGCATGGGGAAAGGAGGATGAATAGGAGTGCTGAGAACAGGAACAAGATATAAACCAGAAACCTATGCCCAAAACTGACCAGTTCTGCCACATGCTTCATCCTTATTTAAAAATAACTTAAGTTGTGCTAGAAGCCTGCCCACCAGCTTAGATGGATCCTTCCTGTTCCAGCCCGAGGGTATCAGTGTGCACTGCTCCAGACACAGCCTAGCCCTTAAAGTTAGCTGGTTTCCTCTGATTTGCTCTTCCTACAGAAACACTTGGAACATTTGAAGAGGCTAGAAAATGTTTAATCTTTTACAGGGTTCATTCAGGTGGCCTTTAATGCAGGTGGGGTTTTTTTTGTTAGTTTTAAGAAAAACTTAGCATTTAAGTAACAACAATTTTAAAAAGCAGCAATTTTTATCCAGCCAGCTTCTGAAGCCAAAAACTTGCTAGTTCCCTGAGGGTTATCAGCCCATGGGGGTGTGTAAATATCTACCAGCCTCCATGCCAGAAGGAGGAATTTACACCCCAAGTCAGTGACCTATGGAGCTCTCAGCCTGTTGGCTGCATAGTCATTGACCTGCCAGGTGAGCAGATCACATCCCCACTATGCCTCAGTTTCTTCTCCCAACTTGTGAGTATTTTGCTTGGGATTTTCTCAGGCTAGAAATCTAGATGCTGGCTTATGTGCATGTCAAAGTTCTAATGGTTCGACACATGTACACCTCTAAAGAACTCTATCCTTACATGCTCAGGGCTGGCACACCCATGCAACACCAGCAATCCTGGCACACCATTTCATAGCCTGCTCTCTAAGTCAGTCCACCCAACTAAGACCTAGTACAGAAACATGCCCCCTGCAAGTGCCATGCTTTGTGAGCTGAAAGGGGTCTGGCAGATAAGTCACATGTGGGAACTTCGAGTGGGTCCTCACAGCAACCAGCACTCAGGCTGTGTTGCCCTCAGAAACAGAGGGGAAACCAGAAAGGATCAGGACATTGGGCTATGAAAAGCCCATCCTAAGGGGGGGGGGGGGAAGAGAGATATCCAACCAGTCGAGTCTGGGGAGTAGATGCATTTTTGAATAAGTTCAGCTCTTTGCTGGGCCCTTCCTCAGTCATCAATCCTCCTGCTGGTAACCTTATGTCTTGGCCCACGCCCAGCTCTGGAAGCGCTCTGCTCCCTCCATCCTGTGTTGTCCCTTGCTGGACAATTTCACACTGATATTCACAGTAGATCAGTTTGCCACACCACCCAGAATGCTCTGTAAGGGCTGATCCTTCACCATCTTTAACACCTTTTGGCTGGTGGGACTCTTCAAGAGAGGCCTGTGCGCTCTGGCTGCTTGGTGAATGACAGTCTGATGGGGCCTACAGGATCAGAGTGTGGGAAATGGTGGCTTTCTAGTCACATTCTGCCAAGGGTGCAAGGTCAAAAGGTCAGGAAGTCCCAATCCCCATCCCTCCTTTCCACTGCTAAGCAATGCCCCTGTCTTCAGCGATGTTAACTTTGGAATACTGACTCCATTTTCTTGGGGAAAGAGCCCTAGCTAGAGATGCCATGTGATATGCCAACCATGCTTTGCCCACCAGTGCCAGCTGGAGACTGTGCTTAGCAAAGCTGCTGGGAGCATGGGCACCTCATGTCACAGGGGAGGCATGCCTGCTCTTGGATTTCCCAAGAGGCTATGCTGGGGTGAGGTTGCTTTGCAACAGGTCCAAGCGTGTGGATCAGAGACTGGGAGGAAGGGGCTGGCCTTCCTACCTTAGAGGATGGATCTACTGTTATATCCAGCAGACAGCACCCAGGTGCAGAGCTGTCCCATCCATAGCACAGTTCAGGGTGGCCAACACGGTTGGTGTGTGTATGGAGGGGGAGGGTTGTTCTGTAACGGCTGCCTCAGGGGATAAGGCCCAGGGGATTTCCAGGGGGCCTGGCCCAGGGCATTGGCAGGAGCTGGAGTGACCTGGCAGCCTGCTTCTCTCTGCTCCCCCTCTCCCTCTGTACCTTTTTTTTAAAACTGTGGAAGTGAGAAACGGAGTGCCCAAAGTCAGGGTGCTCTGCTTTCCCCTCCCATGGAAATGTGGAGTATAGCAGAGAGGAGCCAGCTGTTGGGTTGTTCTGGCTCCTACTGTGAGTGCAGGGCACAGGGGGATGGGGTGGCTGACCTCTGATACCACCCTGCACCAGGCCTCCTTTCGGGGGCAGGGTCTTAGCAATACAGTAGGACAGGGAAAGCCTTGCCCAGGTGGTTAACATCACTGCAAAGGGGTGAAAAGAACCCAAGCAGAGCCACCTTCAGCACCTGTGCGTAGAAATACTCACTCTGCCCACCACCACAGTGCCTGCTATTAACAACCCTGAGATGAAAATTGGCATCCCCAAGCCTGGCCAGTGCTTTTCAATTCCTTTGCAGGCCTGATCTAGGCTGTGCGAAGGGCAAAATAACCACATCCCACAGGTGGGACTGGGTACGGGAAATTTTTCTGGATTCCAACCATCTGATTTCTCCAGTCAAGGATCTTGGCCTGCTTTTAATATCAGATTTTCTCCCTGTAGCACTGAGCAAGACAAGCATGTCTATTTCTCAGCCTTCTGCCCATTCAGTGGCAGATCTCAAAGCATCAGAGGCTTGTGAAGGATCCACTGGGGAACTTGGGTCCTTCAGCTACTCAAATGAGCTAGGCTCCTTAATTTCCTTGAGCCTCAAGCAAGGTTGAGCATTTGACAGCAAGGAAACTGAAGCATGGGGAAAGGAGGATGAATAGGAGTGCTGAGAACAGGAACAAGATATAAACCAGAAACCTATGCCCAAAACTGACCAGTTCTGCCACATGCTTCATCCTGACACCCAACACAGCTGCTACTCCTCAAGAAATGTCCCAGCCAGATCTCCACAGGGGTCTAAAACAAGGCCATGTCTGCAGGCAGCTCAGCTTTTAAGATCCCACACACCCTGCAGTGCGCGCGCGCGCACGCACACACACACACACATCCCCCCCCCCCCCACTTTTTTCTTCCATTAGGCTAGCACTGGGGTGGGGAACCTGAGGCCTGGGGGCCAGATGCAGCCCCCAGCTTGCCTAGGTTTAGCCCAGGAGGTACAGGGCTTCCCACAGCATTGCTGAGCTTGCACTGGTGCTCTAGGCATCCCACCCCCTACTGTTCCCCCTGTGGGGTTGGAGCACACAAAATCTACTAGTTTGCCCCTTCAATCTCTGGTGTGCAAGGAGAATGTGGGGAGCGGCTTTCTCCTTTCCAGTCAGGGGCCATATCAATGAGGTTTTTTTGGGTGTTATTTCCCCCAATCCAAAAAAGGTTCCACACCTCTGGGCTAGCAGATCAGCTGGCTACTGCATTTCCTTACACACCACCCCATTTGCTGCCACTGGCACTTAGTTCATCCAAGAGTGGGCTCTGGACATCACACAATGTCAAGGCTTTACAGAGCAAGAGGCACCAGCACATTCTTAGGTTAACTGAGGCAAGGACGTGAACCAAATTAACCAAGGTCACAGGCATCTCCACTCCCTCTTGTGCTTGTGTGGAGGAGGACAAGTGTTTTGACTAAGGGGACACAATGCAGCATCCTCTCACCCAAGGGGCTTTACGGAGGGAAGCTGCACTGAGCCTTTTAACTGGTATCCCCCTTTGTCCCCAGGTAGCACCATCTTGTCAGTTACATAGAACTCCTAAGCATGAGGAATAGTGGCCACCTACACACACCCCCTCCAGCAAGATGGAGTGTCTCATTTATCTCCCCAAAACAGACCCTATTATCAGCCAGAGAAACCATTCCAGCAGGATCCAGTTCCCTTATCCAAAAACAACCCCCCATACTACCAGCCTTTTCCCATCTAAGCCACTGGCCAGCCTAGGAGATGAGCTATCTACCTATAGGATGGGAGACAACCCCTCCTCTCCCCCATCTCAGATTGTCAGGGGCATGTCTTGCGCCACCGTATAAACATGGGCAGTTGGGTGAATCCCCACCTCTCACTGAAAGCAACCAGGTAGGTGGCTGCTACAGCCCGGAAGGATTTTCTCCTGGCAGCCCCTTTCCCACCCAGGCCAGGCCTCTTACCCGGACAAAGATCACGTTGTCAGGGAAGTCAGCAGCTGCCCCGTCCTGGGGCACCCGGGGGGCAGCAATGGGTCCCCTGCTAGCTGTCAGTGAGGCAGGGAAGCAGCTTCTTCTCCTCTTGGGGCCAGCTCCCTCTGCCCCCTCCTCTTCCTCCTGCCGTTGCTGGATCTCTTCGGACAGGTAGTGGCGAATGTTCTGGCGGGCCGAGTGTATCAGGGCTCCATCAATGTCCAGGCCCACCACCCGGGCAGGTTTCCACTTCTTGGCAATGCTGAGGGTGAGGTGCCCTACGTTGCAGCCCAAGTCCAGCACCTCTTTGCCCTGGAACCATTCAGGCTTCATGACCCGCAGCCGGCCATCCTCACAGTTGGGGTTACGGTAGCCATAGTATTTGCAGTAGTTGCCCAACTGGAATTTTCTGTGTTGTCTCCTGCGCTTGGACATGGGTGCCTGTTGTCTCCCAGCGCCTTTCCCCTTTTCTGGGCTACTCTTCCCTGCCTGGCCCCCACCTTTGCTGGCCACCAGTGTGTGGGGAGGCAGCGTCTGCTTGGCACCCCCAGCTGCCTCCGATTTGCTGCAAGTCCTGCGCCGCTTGCGGTGGCGGCTGCTGCCAGAGGAACAGGAGGGGGTGACACAGCCCACTCCTGGCTGCTGCTCTGCAGCGAGGGGGAGCAGTGGAGAGACCACCTCATCTCTACAGTTGATGGCCGTGTTGAGTTCATAGGGCTGTGGGGTGGGACAGGCCCCATTGGCCCCACATGACTTGCAGGTTGCCTGCTTGCAGTCCCCACCACCACCACCACCACCCCCCCGCTGCTGCCCCCGATGACGGTGGCGCTTTCGGCCCGACTTGAAGGGTGCAGCCAGCACAAGGGCTGCATCGCTATCCTGGGCATTGAGACTCAGTGGGTCCGTAATGTCCTTGGGGATGAGGATTTCCACTGGATCGCGGCCCTTGGCAGGCAGCGGCGATGACTTGGGGGTCTCTGCATTGAGGGCCTGGTTCACTTCCTCATCCAGGAGACTGTTGAGATTCAGGGGGTCGAAGATGTTGCCCCCCAGCAGGAACTCAGAGGGCAGAACCGGGTCGCACTCGGAGTTGACCCGACGGCGACGCTTGGAGGCCGGGTGCTTGAAGCCTCCACCGCCCACGTTGCAGCTGTTCCTCCTTTTGCCCCCACCCCCAGGCGGCCGGGGGGCCTGGAAGCCATTGCGAGGCCGGGGCAGCTCGCCCACGCTATCTTCCTCCTTGGGACCGGCCCTCGGGTGTAGCTCGACCCGGGCGCTCTCCTGGTGCGACCGCGGCAGGGGGCCGCCTCCGCCCCTGCACCTGCCCCATGGGGCGGCCCCCTGGTGCGC